CCTGGAGTGACTCAGCCACGGCGTGGGTGGCGGGGCCGGGGCGGCGGGGCCCTCCCGGCTCCCGTGGGGACCTGCCAGCTCCCACAGGGGCTCACAACGCCTGCCTGCCCCATCCCACTCGGCTTCTTCTCGTGCCGCAGGCCTTGGAGGACCCCAGGTCCTGTGTGCGGTGGAAAAGGCTGTGAACCAAGGTGGGGAAGCAACCCCTGAACCCTGGGTGCTCTCCCCAAAACAGTGCACTCCCCCCCAAAATGACGCACATCCCCAAAAAGTGATGCACTCTCCAAAAAGCAGCCACGTTGGATTTAGCACCTGACCATGCTTGGCACGGTGAAGCAGCAGCCGGGGGACAGCTGAGCTGTGCTTTCCGCCATGGATGTCACAGCAACGAGGGTTTTGGGGGCAGAGGGAAGGGGATGGAGGCAGCCCGAAGGCATGGGTGTGCAGGGATGTGCTGCTTCCCCAAACGCGGCTTTTGGGAGCTTCTTCCTCCCTGCCGCACACCCGGCTGCCAGATTTACCTCTGCCTGATGGCGTCTCGCTCACGAGCTCGGACTCTGCCCTGCTTTGGGAGCAGCGGATGAGCCAGTGTCAGTGGGAGGGAGAGCCCAAAGCTGCTCCCGGGATGCCCCGCTGGGCACGAAGGCTTTCCTTCCACCCGTGAGTTTCTTTTCAGGGCGATGCTCAGTGCAGCACATGCCAGGTTATTTTTCTGTTTTATTTTTAAGGCATCTTATAGGATCCTGCACTCAGCAAGGGTGGCTGGAGCTCAGGAATCTGCAGGGATGTCGGGACATCGTGCCTCTGCATGGCCTCACTGGCCCTTGGAGGCCACCGCACGGTGACCGGGTCGAGCCCGCATTGCCAGCCTGTACAGGGGGAGCAAAACGTGCGGCTGCTGCCAAAGCATGTGCCGAAACCTGCCACTAACGACTTCACCTGTGGCTTCATACTGGATTCCTGGAGCCCACACTGGGAAAAGGTCCGTGCATCACCCTAGGCATGAAAACTGGTCCCAGCAAGCAGGCAAGCATGCATACAGCGAGCTGGGGAGCAGCCAGCCCACCCGGGGTCATCTCCATCCCCGTCAGGGACACAACGGCACGTTTTTCCCCTCAGGGCAGCCCAGGTCCTAACCAGAGGCAGATTAAACGCCTGCACCAGGGCCCTCAGGCCGGGATTCAGCCGAAGCTGAGCCGAAGGAGGGCCGGGCTTCGGAGGCTGGTCAGAGCGGGAGGAGAAGCAGCTGATTCCTGCCTTGCCGCGGAGGGGAACAGAAACACCGGTGAGCCGCAGAGGAGGTGGCTGCCCCGCCACACGCCGGGGATTGCACCGGAGTGGAGCAGCTCGGCCCCGGCTGCCGGCCACGAGACCGATGAGTCAGAGATTTCAGGCACAATGGGAAGCGCGGGCTCAGCAGGGATGGGGACACACCGGGACGGGGACGTGCCGGGATGGGGCCTCAAGGCCGCTGAGCACTGCATCGCCGTGAGCAAAACCTCCTCCGGGGCAGGGCGCAGAAGCAGCGGGAAGAAACGTGGTTTTTGCCTGCCCGGTCGTGGCGAGAGGAAGGAAATGGGTGAGCTGATGGTGGCGTGCGTGGAGGGGGCCATGCCACGCGTCCTCCCCATCCTGCTGGCAGCCGGACTGGCCACCGGCGCGGGGCTGCCCGCACTTCCCAGCCAGTGCTGGCACGGTCCCAGGGACCACATCCCAGCTCGGCAAGAGCCGTCTCCAGCCCGGCTGCTTCCCCAAGGCGTCCCCACCTCCCTCCCGCCCACTGCTGTCTTCTCCCTTACGCAGCCTTTTCCTTTTTAAAAAAAAAAACAAACAGCAGACCGAACCCAGAAGTGCAAGAGGAATAAAAACATACCCAAGCCAAAGCAGGAGCCCTGTATCGGCACCCGCTCCGAGTCACCCCGACAAGCCCTCGGCTGCCCCCACGTCCCAGGTGGGAGCTCGCGAGGGCAGAAATAATTGGCCCACATTAATTACAGGAGCGAAGACAGAGGTGATGTTAACAGGACCATGCAGGTCCCACAGCACCCAGCGATGGGAGAAACCTTCCACAGCAAACCTGGGGTGGACTCGGCCATCCCTCTCAAGGAGAAGCATCCTCCAGAAATGTCTCCGAAGGCCGAAAAACATTTGCCAGAACTACAGCCACAGCCTTCTCTGCTCATTGGCATCTTCCTTCCCCTTCCCACAGGACAGCGGCTGGGAAGAGAAGGAGATCCTCAAAGGAGGCCACCGAACGGGGACACCAGCATGGACCACCTGCACCTCCCCAGGGCTGGGAGCACCCAAACACCCGTACTCACAGCTGAAAACTACGGCTGCGGTTGCTCACCAGCGTAGGAGCAGGCACTCGCCGGCCTCCTTGTTGCAAAAAAACCCTCATCGTTTGCTCGGCAGCGGAAAACGAACTTTCTTTTTTTGTTTCAGGATGTGAAAGGTGATAACTGCTGGATCACAAGATGCAGGTCCCGTGGCTTCCCGGCCCCAGGGAAGGCAGGGCACTGCGCCGGCAGCAAGCCCTCGGCAGATTGAACCGACGCTGTTTCAGGAGGGGGCGGGAGGCGAAGGCTGCGATCCCGCTCCCTGCATCCCACATGCTGGAGGCCACAGAAGTGCCCGGCGCTGATGAAGCCCTCCCCTCCCGCCCACGCGCTCGCGGGACCGCGCCTGCAGCATGCGCCGGGCCAAGGAGCCACATCGGCACTGCTCAGCGGCTGCCGCCACCGAGGAGCACCCCCATCCCTGTGCCACCACGCACCCCATCCCTGCACCACCGAGCACCCCCATCCCTGTGCCACTGTGCACCCCCATCCCCGCACCACCGCGCACCCCCAGGTCAGGCTGGCGAAACGCCTGGGGCTCACGATGCCGCTAACGAGGCCGGCAGTTGCTATCCGCACCCTCCCTGCCAGCATCACGGTCACCCACCGGTGCCACGCCTGCCGCAGTCCCCAGGGAGCCTTGTCCAGCCCTTTTGCAGAAAATAGACAAAATTGCTACAGTTTTAGTTGTTTGGTTTTTTCTTTTTTCCCAGGAGGGCAGGTGCAAACTGGGATCCTGTGCTCACCACCTCTCTCCTTCAGCTGGGCACAGGCCACCTCTCGGGGCCCTGCGAGGCAGGAGGCAAGCGCGGCCGGCGATGGGAGCCCCCGTAGGTAATCTCCCGTGGCCGAGCGGGCGAGCTACGGCGTCGCTGGGCCGTTCGCAGCAGCTCCTCGGCTGAGGCTCAGGAAATGGCACAACGGCAGCGATCAGCCGCGGGCGCGGGGGCATCTGCTCCCTCTAAATGAACCAGAGACACCATTTAACTGAGCCATTTGCCCATTTAGCGAGGACCCGCTGCAGTCAGAGGGAGCAGGAGCAGAGCTGCCATAATAAAAAGCCTTTTCTAACACAATCTCTTAATGCCACAGGCAAGAAGTATCATTTTCTAAGATGAAAATCCATTTGTCCAGGATTACATGCCACAGAAAATGATTACACAGCTGCAGAGGACAGACTTTCCCAAGCGAAGCCACCGGCGCCGTGGGATGCGTGGGCGCGGGTCCTGGCCCCACGCAGTCCCAGGGGCTCTGCAGCAGCGCCGGGGGGCAGACGGGAATCGCTCGCGGACGGCCGGATCCGGACACTGGCACACTCCGCGGCAGCGGCTCCGCGTCCCGTGCTCTTCCTAGCAAAGAAAAAAAATAATCACAGAGCATCAAGGGTGAATCTCCTGAGGTCCCACAGGTTTCTGAGCTGTGTCGTGACTCATATTGTGACAAGAAGCGATCAGCGATTCACGCGGCTGGTGCTGAGCTGGCATTAAACACTCGGCTCCACCCCTGACCGCATCCAGGCGCCCTCGCCGTCGATCTAAGTGGAAGTGAAAAGCTGCACCGGCTGTCACAGCAAAGAGTAAGCGGCCCGGCAAAGCCCCAGCGGGACCACAGGACGACGGCACCACCATCGGTGCCGCTGAGATGCAGGTGCTGCCGGAAAAAACGGCCACCACGGCTGCAGTCTGACCCGAGCGCGAGGCGATGCTGCCCCGGCACACGAGCATCACGGCTCTCCCGTGGCAATCACCCGTGACCTCTGCGCCCGCAACCCCCACAGCGCGGTTCCCATCCTTCGAGCTGGTGCTGAAATTATTCCAGAAAATTATCCGTTATTTAAGCGTGATGTTTGGCACACGCCCCTGTCTCCCAAACGTCACGGCCTGTGACCAGCGGCACCAAACCGGCTCCTGCAGCTGTGGCGCGGGGAGGTTGGCTGCTCTCTCCTGTGGGGGTGTACTCAGATTTTGGCAAGGCGACGCAGAGGATGGGCACCCGGCTCGGACACTGCAGCTTCGGTGCTGCCGGCTCCCGCTGGCGCCCGCCCGCGGGGCCGCCACG